GTTTTTTGTTTTGTTTTGTTTGTTTCGTTTGTTTGTGTTGGTAGAGACCATGTTTCACCATGTTGGCCAGACTAGTCTGGAACTCCTGACCTCAAGTGATTCTCAAGTAGTCTGCCTGCCTTGGCCTCCCAAAGTGTTGGAAATTTCAGGTTTGAGCCACCGTGCCCAGCTGTCTTTTTAAAGCCCTATTCTCTTTAACTCAGGCACTTTTGATAATGAAATAGGGAAATTTGAAGGTAACTGATTTGATCTACTCGGCATCCCATAGTTCCCCTTGAAATTTCCTCCAGTGTCAGCAAGAAAGCCTGTCTCTCATTTTCAATGCCAGCCCTACCGCTCAAGCTCCAGATCTCAGCCTCAACTCTTGGGGTAATTCCTAGGATCCCATCCTTCTCTACAGCATCTTCAGTCTTTACTCACTAACAGCCAGTTTTGTCTTCACATGTATGTAGTTTCACCTTGCCATCTCTTTCAAAAACTTTCTTGAGTCTTTCACTCCTGTGCCATTTCTCTTCTTCCTTTATCTGTCCTATTCTGCATGCTCTTATACCTGTTCTTATTGTTTATACCCTTTTTTCCAGTAATCCCTGGCTACTGGATTTCTAACAACCTCCTTTATAAAAAATGCTCATTGGAAGGGTGTCAAGTGACCTTCCTCCAATAATATTCAGCAGCATTTTCTCTTCATTTTCTACCATATTTTTACTTTGTTTAATGCAGTTTATGGGCTTATAAAATGCTTCTTCTTATAATGTCCATGTAACAATAGCTGTCTACCTCCCATCCTTGACTATGTAAACCCACTAACATCGTATCTGGACTTTTACTTGTCTTCTTTCCTTTCTCAAAACTATAAATTCCCATGCCTTCCAATTCTGGTTCTCAAGTTAGTCAATCAATACTCTCCCTGAGCAGCCTCCAGCTTATAACCAAACCTAGCATTCATTTATTCATCTTCAGATTCCTTGTCATGGTCAGTCCCATTTCTATGCCTTCACTAATGTAGCACAGTCCACATGCAATGCCTTACTCTGTGCCAATCTAAATGCAATGTACCCAACCTTCAAGATCAGTTAGCATCTTACTTCTTTCATTAGGCCTTTGCTAAGCATTGCCTTACATTAAAGCCTTTGTCTAAAATCATATTAGACTTGTATTCTTGACAAAATGGTACTTCCTAATAGTCTCTAGTTAGTTCAATATGTGGGCCCTGTTTTATCAACTGTGCCTCTTAAAGCTTGAACATAAGTTTCTGCAATTACAGCTAACTGCGATCTTCTCCTCCTGGGCTCAAGTGATCCTCTCACCTCAGACTCCTGAGTAGCTAAGACTATAGGCACACACCATCATGCCCAGCTAATCTTTGTGTTTTTGTTGAGACAAGGGTTCATCATGTTGCCCAAGCTTGTCTTGAACTACAGGGCTCAAGAGATCCTCCTCCCAAAGTGCTAGGATTACAGGTGAACATGAGTTTTGTCTTTGTTTTTGAGATGGAGTCTTGCTCTGGCACCCAGGCTGGAGTGCAATGGTGTGATCTCTGCTCACTATAACCTCTGCCTCCTGGGTTCAAGTAGTTCTCCTGTCTCAGCCTCCTGAGTAGCTGGGATTACAGGTATGCACCACTATTCCTGGCTAATTTTTTGTATTTTTAGTAGAGATAGAGTTTCACCACATTGGCCAGGCTGGTCTCGAACTCCTCACCTTGTGATCTGCCTACCTTGGCCTCTCAGAGTGCTGGGATTACAGGTGTGAGCCACTGTGCCCAGCCACGAACATGAGTTTTTATTCCCTGACAGCCTTGCAGTATGCTAGGCATACAGAAGCTGCTTAATGAATTTGTTTAATGGTGTAATACTAAATAAATATTATTTACATAAGTAATAATGGTAATATCATGGCATCGATATCTTCACTTTGAGTGAAACTGGGCTTTTTAATGGACTACTTAGGAGGCTACATCTGGCAATATGACACAGTGGTTAATAGTATAAACTGAACCAAAACTGCCAAGTTTCAAATCCTGATTCTACCACCTACTGGCTATATGGGTACTGATATATTTTTTTTATTTTCAAGGAGAGACACAAATATGTTAGTTAACCTTAGGAAGGTACCTGTGTCATGGAGTTACTATGGAGATCAAGTAAATTATGTTAGATACCTGAAACAACTTCTAGCATTTAGATATTGCTCCATAAATGTCAGAAATTATTAAATCTTCATTACACATAAAATGATAGGGTCTCAGAGATAAAAGAACTTTTGCTTTATAAACGAACAAGCAGAGGAATCAATGTAAAATGATTGGCTCAAGTGCATATGGCTAATCAGAGGCCAAGTCAAGAACTTAGCTCTCCTGACTTGTATTCATTTGTTCTTTTCTCTCCTTAAGGATTTTTATATCTGACAAACTACAGAATCTTCAAGTTCAAAGGAATATTTAAGACTCTACAATTTTCCCATAAGGGACCAAATACTGCACCATCACTTGTCACAAATCTTTCATCTTTCCCAACAGCACCATTTCCCAGATTCTTAATCACCCAGAAAAAAAAGCGTAACAAACCTTGCACCATGGCTCCCAAGTTAAGAAACACACGAAGGACAGGAATGGATGCCAAAGTCAGAGTGCCTGAGTTCAGATGACTATCATCAAATAAAACCATTTTTAATGATCATCTTTTGAAAAATAAGATTTCTTTTTTTGGGGAAAACATTGTCTGGGATACTCATTACAAAGCTGTGATTCAGGCCATCCCACACATACGTGGATGTCTTGCAGATAGTATTCTTCCTGGTAGGAATCTGAAATTATGATTTTGATGAACTCTGAACAATACTCTTTAGCAGCCAGGAAAACGCACAGGAGCCAATTACCCATACCGGGCGTTATTTCTGAAGGTTTCAGTTTTCTGTGCGGTTCTCTGGAACAGTATTCAGGCTGTCTGTGCAATCAGCTATGTTAAGAGTTTTTAAATTCAATCTAACAGATACAGACTCTCGGGAGGAACTGCAGCAATAAAAGATTGCTATTAACTATGCACTAATAAACCTGTGTGTAAGGATTCTTTCATTAGATGCAATGGCATGCTATTTTGTCTTAATTCAGCACTAAGGGAAGAGATTTAATTTCTCTTTAATGCCAATGAAATCACTGTATGTAGCAGCAGCAGTATGGGAAAAGGCCAAACTGAGTAATTGTGTTATGTGTTCACTAAGAATGTTCATCCACTTCTCTCAGTCCTGCTACAAACAAGACTCAGGAAATCCACATTCTTTCTGTATGACTGTTTTAAATGTCTCATTGTAGTATACGGACTCTGAGCTTTACAGCTTAGGAATTTTCCCCTGCCTTGCCTTTGTCAGTCTATGGCTTGGCATTTTTAATGCTCAAAACAGGGGGGTTCCATCACTTGAATCTGAAAGTTGAATTACTTTCTTTATACTGAAGACTCAACAGACAGTCTCCACTGATCACACAGAGGATGCACTGTCCCTCCTTTATGTTTCTGTAGTATTTTACTTCTATTTCTAACCCCACTCATGATTATCTGACTTGTTACACCTTGCTGTGTGTATGTCTCCTTTGTGCACTGTAAACTCCTGAGGACAGAATTCATATTATATATATCTCTGTATTGCTCCAGAGCCTTATAATGTCTTAGGCACAGGAGCTGCTCAATAAATGTTTCGATAGTTTTAATGGTACCTATGTTAAGTATTTCCCAGTTGCACAGATATTATTAATGAATTCTCATCTCTGACTTATATCTCATTTCTAAGAACCCTTGTTTTTGAAACACGTAAAAAAGACTTTAGCAGGCTGGCAGGGTAATTTAGATGACTATGTGAACAGCAAGGGAGTGCCTAGCAAATATTTGTTGAATAATTTTATGAAAAGTTGTAGAGCTTTCTTTTGAGTTTTAGTTGCTTAAGGAGACCCAACGATTTCCGTGGGATAGGGAAAAGGAAAGAACTCAGAGGCATGACTGGGAGGGTATCCCAGAAGGACTACTGCATCTTCTAGAAAAAAAACCCAACACCAAAGTTCTAACTCTGAGACCCAGTCATATGCTTGGATCATAGCATTTCCAAGACCAAAATTTCCTCTTTAATAGTTTTTCTGAGAAATTGTCAGGTTTAATGTTAAGAAACATTTAGTCCATGATCATTAGGCCCAGACATGACTGTCTTGATGATTTGCTGGGCCCAGTCCAAAATAAAAACAGAGCCCCTCTTCCAAACTTAAGAATTTCAAGACAGTGATGGAAGAGCATCAGCCAAATGAGGAGCCCTTTTAAGCATGGAGCCTTGTGTGACTGTACAGGTCCCACACCTTCTGTGAAAGGCAAAAGGTCTGTAGCTAGAGAGAGAAGCTCTTAAGTATACACAAGGGGCTGCAGGAACCCAGAGATCCTAACTTTGTAAACGCATCACAGGGAAGGTGAGTTAAGCTAATTTTCCAGGGAGCAGTTGCATAGGGAAGAAAGATATTCCAGATTAAAGAAGTAGCACTGAAGGTAGGCAGAATTTACCTGACAACGTTCAGGAATAGTGTTAACTTTTAAGCAGGGTGGTGCCAGTGAACATTAGGGTGAGAACTGAGATTGAGATGGAAAGGCAGGCAGAGGCCACATATATGGGAGAGGGGTTGAACAATTACTGAGTGCCTCCTTTGTGCCAAGTTCTTCCCCTCCATGTCATTTTAAACCCCACAATCTTGTAAATACTGTGTCATCCCTATTTTACAAATACATTAATTTAGGTCTCACACAGATCGAATGTTCAAAGGTTTTGGAACACTCTAGGGATCTTCAAATATTAATATTTGAAGAATTACTGATGGGTCTGTCTGACTTAAGGCTCAGGACTCTCACCCTTTAGGCCAAGCTGCTCCTGAGTGCTTTTTAATCCCTCCAGTCGTTCTCTTCCCCCAAATTGCCCTTCTCCCCCTTCGCCACGCCCCCGCCTTTCCACGTGCCGGAAATTAGGCGGCAAAGTACTTCCGGGATAGTAAAGGTCGACCCCCCGCAAGATGGCGGCCTCCTTGGAGCTCAGTTGCTGGGGAGGCGGCTGGGGGCTCCCATCGGTTCACAGCGAGTCCCTGGTGGTGATGGTGAGGCCGCCTCGCGGGCCAGGTCGCGGGAAGAAGGGGCGGGGCCAGAAGCGCTAGGCTGACTTGCCCCAGTTTTCCGCTGCGCTACCGGGTCCAGGAGAGCCGGGCCGCTGCACGCTGCATCGCCCTGGGCTCCCTTCCACCGACGAGTTCCAACCTGGCCTGTGACCCCCGCCGAAGGCCGGCGGCAATGTCAAGGCTTCTAGGCTTGGGTCCGAGTTTTGTCCGCCTCACAAAGCTGTCTGGGCGGTGGAGTGAAACCTTGAAGCAGGGGGCGTGCCCTCCGTACTCCGCATCCCCAGGACCTTTTGAGGAGCAAAGTCCCCGAAAGCCGGGTAGCTGGCGCCCGCGTCCCTACTGGAGATCACGGGGAGGGATGTGGCCTCAGTATCAGTCGCCTTCTGCCTTTGGGGGATGGGGCTGTGCAGTAAAGCTACTCTGAAGATTTTCATTACGCACTCGGTCTAAAATGTTTGATTGCAAACTCTGTTTCAGGCTTATGCCAAATTTTCTGGTGCACCCTTGAAAGTCAATGTGATAGATAACACCTGGAGAGGTTCAAGAGGTATAGTGTAAACCTTTACACTCCCCTTTCTGCACTCGTTTTTTTTTTTTTTCTTCTTCCGTTTAAAGCCATGAGTTTATGGTATATAGCTATAGAGTACATTGAGGATTTAGTTTCCTACCGTGACCTTGGCTCTGGTTGCTTATGGTTTGATCATTCTGAGTAATACCTCAAAGTGCAAGCCAAATCACTGGAAATTATGAGAAATGAAAATGTTCTCTAGAACCACTCTTTGTGAAACTGCAAAAAAACTAAGACAAGCTTACTCATTTTTTCCCCTCTAAATGTGCAATTGCTATAGTTTTTAGGGTATTGGAATCTCTTCAGAGGAAATCACACTGTGTCCTTGTATATAAACTGTTTTTTGATTATAGGCGATGTACCAATTTTGACAACTGAAGACAACATTGTTTCTCAGCCAGCAAAAATACTAAACTTTTTAAGAAAACAGGTGGGTGGTTCACTTTGAAGAAGTAGATTGGTAGATTATTGATCCCTCATGTTGGGCTTTTTTTTTTCTTTGCACACTCATTAGACAATTGGAGATACCTGGGATATGATTTAAAAATAGATTTGATAGATTTGAGAATCACTACGGCAAAGCATGAGTATCTGTGATTTGAAAGTCATGATGACTAGAGTCAATTTATATTTTAATACACTTTGCTTGAATTTTATTGAAATTTGTGTGTAAGTAGATTTAGCCATTTTCACTGTTACACTTACTGACAGGATTTGTCACATAGTTGGTACACATTTTGTGCTGGGCACAACATCTGAGTTCCCACCAACCAGCAACTATATTATTTTATTTTTAAAAAACTCGATGATCTATCTAAATGTTTTAACAGTAGAGAGTTATGTATCCAAAATGTTTAAACATGTACAATTTTATATAAAGGCAAAAGTTATCTTGGTTTTGCCCATAGTGTACTTAAAAAAAAAATTATGTCAATAAAATTTTGAACTTTTATAAATTGGAAGGTTTTTCCTTTTTTCATGGGGAGAAACAGCCAATTTGAACTATTTTCTTCTTGTTAAAAATATTAGTTGCTTTTATTAAGTTTGTACTACATGCCATGCCCTGAACTAGGTCATTTACAAGCATGACAATAATAGTAGTTAATAAATTATAACATTTATTGACTGTATTGTGTCTGTGATGCTGTGCTAAGAACTTTATGTGCATTAAGCTGTAGGTTTCACTGGGTTTGTATTTCTCTTTCCCCCATTTTAATACCACGTTTGCCACTTGTGAGGAAAAATAGGAATCCTGATTTGATTAGTTTTACTGTCTTTGGGATTCTTTGACTTCTGAGTTTCTTTGGTTTTATTTTTTTTTAATAGAAATATAATGCTGATTATGAACTCTCAGCAAAACAAGGGGCAGATACCTTGGCTTATATTGCTCTCCTCGAAGAGAAGCTTCTCCCTGCAGTGGTGAGTGTTCTTAAATATTACAGGATTATAGTGGCCTAATTGCAAATGTACATAGTCTGTTTAGAAGAAAATCAATGAGAAAAGTCTTAAGAGAAAATTTTACTTATATGTTAATCTTGATTGCTTCATATTACCATGAAACTGAATTCTCTTAGGCATTCAACTAGTATGTGAAACAACAAAGTAAAAGAAAATGTCATTTTGGAAATTCTTTGTGGGAGATGGATCTTTTTGCTCCAAGTATAGAATTGGGTGCAATTCATTCATTCACCAAATGTTTATCGAGCACCTGCTATGTGTCAGGCCTTGTTCTGGGTGCTTGGGATACAGCAGTCAACAAAACTCACACATTTAAAATAATCTTGTTTTATCCTGAGTCATTCTAACTGGAAAATTTGTATGAAGTCACTTTATATAAAGATTATTTATGAAAACCTCTCACATTGAGTGGTCTTTTAATAAAAGAACATCTTTGTAGTGTTTTTTTCTCCACTTTTGCAGCTTCACACATTCTGGGTTGAGAGTGACAATTACTTTACTGTGACAAAGCCATGGTTTGCTTCACAAATTCCTTTTCCTTTGAGTTTGATTCTGCCTGGAAGAATGTCTAGGGGAGCACTGAACAGGATTCTCCTGACCAGAGGACAGCCTCCCCTCTACCACCTCCGAGAAGTGGAAGCACAGGTATGATATGGATTATTCTCCAAGCAAGGGCCCTAGAGAGAAAGGACAAGAGAAATAGTAGAAATGATTTTACCTAGAGATGTCAGCCTCAAAGATAGTTTTAGAGTATCTTTTCTACTTTTGAGATATAATTTCATCCTTATTAGATATACAGAGATGCCAAGGAGTGCCTAAATCTTCTATCAAACAGATTGGGAACATCTCAGTTTTTCTTTGGAAATACGTGAGTATTCCCCTAAAAATCATTGATATTTTGTGCATATATATTGAGTGAGCAGCTATTTAAAGCAAGTCCTCTTGTCTCCCCAAAAGATGAGTTTTTCACTTAAAAAAAAGATTTAATCGATTTTTATTATAGGAAACTTTTTCTATCAGTGATAATCTAACATTTACTTAATAGGCTGCAAATGTGAATTTAAAACATCTAAGACTGTTCCCACTCTGCTTTCAAACTATTTAACACTTGTGAGTAAAAATGAATCTATAATGACAGTTTCATTTTCTTCTAAATAAAATAGTCCAAGCTACTCAATGAGGAAAACCTTAGTTGCATCATTTTTATAAACTAAAATGGTTAGTAAACCTTTTAAAAGACTGTTGTGTAATTCAGAATTGAGAAATTTGAAAAAAAATTTAAACACAATCCCAAGTTAATATTTTCTTATGTGCTTAAAAATCTTTAATATTTTCTTTTCTTTTTTTTGAGACAAAGTCTTGCTCTTGTCACCTAGGATGGAGTGCCAGTGGCATGATCTCGGATCATTGCAACCCCTGCCTCCTGGGTTCAAGCAATTCTGCTTCAGCTTCCCAAGTAGCTGGGATCATAGGTGCCCACCACCATGCCCAGTATTTTTGTATTTTTAGTTGAGATGGGGTTTCGCCATGTTGGCCAGGCTTGTCTCTAAACTCCCAACTTCAAATGATCTTCTTGCCTCTGCCTCCCAAAGGGATTACAGGCATGAGCTACTGCACCCAGCCTTTAGTTAATATTTTCTTACATGCTTAAAAATCCTTAATTTACTTCTAGGCCTTCTACCTTGGATGCCTATGTTTTTGGTTTTCTTGCACCTCTTTACAAAGTACGGTTTCCTAAAATTCAGCTACAAGAGCATCTGAAACAGCTCTCCAACCTCTGCCGCTTTTGTGATGACATCCTGAGCAGTTATTTTAGGATTAGTCTTGGAGGTAAGCTGACTCTTCTTCAGCTAATGTTTGTTTGCATATTCTCGTATGGAAGTATAAGCAAAATCCACTAATTTTAATTTTAAAAGTTTGTGTATTGTCTTTAAATAGTGGTTTATAGGACTCCAAGGATTTGCTTTTTTCCAACTTCATTTTTATTTTCATATGTTAGTTCTTATTTAAATAGAGAAATAGATAGTTGCCCTTTATTCCTCTGGATTTTTGTATTTCTTGCTGCTTGTTCTTTAAATATTTCCTCTTTGAAATGCATCATTTTCTTCTAAAAGGTTAAAACCACAGGTATTAAGTCTTTGCTGAAAAACAGTATTTATCCTAATGCAAATGGGCAATTACTTTAAATGATTCTTACCTGCTGCTTCTAGCATTTTCCTGCGTGAACAGATATCAGCAGCAGATTGATTTTGGTGAGGTACACTCCCATGATTCCACTACTTGAAAACTGATTGCATCAGAATGGAGGTATAGTAAATAGAGGCACCTGTCACTTAGGATGCGCTTTGTTGAGACAGTGGGGCATTATGCTTAGGTGATTCAGATTCTAAATTTCTATTGGGAGGGTTGGCTGAAATTGTCTTTTTAAGAGACAGGTTATAAAGGTAGCTGGCTCAGGTGGACAGTTTATTATTTTAAGGTGGGGTATGTGTTGTATGTAGGAAGGGGTTAGCAGTTGGGAGTCATGAAATTAAGTATGTTCAACCTTGTTACTTGGGAGCAATGATTAACAAACCTGACTATTTGACAGATAAAAAAATTTGGGTCCTATTCCAGACTTACTAAATTAGAATCTGTTAGGCATCAGTCCTAAGAATTTGTATTTTTTAAGTTGTTCTAAATACTCTGGATGTCTGGTGGGCAACTTTTTGGGAGTTAATGCCTTAGAAAACTATCCAGATAGTTGTGACTGAAGACCTATTTGAAATGGGTGTGAGAAAGGAATAGCTTAAATTTGAGAAGGAAATGAGGACTGCTGTGCTTTTTTTCTTTTTTTTAAATTATACGAATTACTGTGGCCAGTTGCGGAACACTTGGTTAGCAGTGTCTATTTAATGGACACATTTTCATCCTTTTTGCTCAGGGTTTAGTTTTGGATCATTCAAATCCCTCTCTTAACTTTACCTTTAAACCCAGAATGGTTTTTCTGTTTGCCTTTTTTGGGAAGGGTGGGGCACTAGACAGGGTGGGTAGACTCAAAATTCTTTCAATCTAAACAGTTTTAAATGCTTAAAAATTTCCTGTCTCTCTCTGATTTCTGTCCTGGCTTCTTAGGCATCTCTCCAGCTGGACAAGATATGGTAGATGCAAATCTGCAGAAACTCACACAACTTGTAAATAAGGAATCCAACTTGATTGAAAAGGTCAAGTCTACTTCAATCATTTTATCATAGTTTAGCATTTTCCTTTCTGTAGCTAATAATGTCATTTGGGTCACACATTAACTGTACCCTTTTAGGTTTTTAAACAGTTTATTTTTCAGAAAACTGTTTAAATATACTTTTACTAAAGTTGTATGTAACATAGTGTTTTGAAGCCAATAGTGGCCCTGTTGTTTTGGGGAAAGATCAGATAAAAGGGTATTGGGTTTACTTTTGCCACACAATTAGTACCCTTTAAGCTGGGAAATCCAAAAGATTTACTTTAAAAAAAAAAACAAAGCAAAAACACTTCTTGCTTGTGTGTCTGCCTCTCTGTCTCTTAAGTTAATGTTTCTTGAGATTGTAAGCACTGGGCTTAGCCTTTCTTATGAACAGCACCATGATGTCCTTTTCTTTTTTCCACATGAAAGTTTTATTTTTTCTTCTTCTTGTTCTTCTGTACTCTAGATGCAGTCTATAGTTTTTTAACCAGTGTAGATATTTTGCCACTTTGGGGTATTCTTTCATGAGAGAGAGAGACTGAGGAACTGGATAGGGGAGAGAGCCAACAAAGGAAATTTCAGTTGTGATTCTAGTTGGAAAAATACAAGAGGTTACATATTTTTTTCCCCCAAGAACTGATAAACTTGCTTTTTTTTTTTTTCTTTCCTGTACAAGGAAGTAATACTTAGTATTTTACAAACTCAGGGCAATGAGGCCTAATGACACTGGCTGAGAGTTTTTGAGGTCCAGCACTGTGTTTCTTGAGCTTGATGTGGGTTATCTCATCTGATAACCCAGTGTTATCAACTGATCCAGTGTTTCTGGATTAGATTAGATTTAAATAATTTATCTTTCTTTTTGCCTAATTTCCTAGCTTTCTTTGGTCTACACAGTCTCAGCTTAAAAAAGCTCGTCTTTTTTGATTGGAATGCAGGTCATTTTCATTGAGGCAAAGAAGTATCGTTGAAAGAATAATAGTTTTGCAATCAGAAGACCTGGGTTCAAGTTTCAGCTCTCATACTAGCATGTGACCTGGAGCAAATCACTTAACCTTATGGAGTCTCGTTTTGCTTCTTATCCGTACAACAGGGAAGATCTGTGTCTGCCTTTTCTTCACAGTGTGTCAGGAAGATCAAATAAGATATTGTACATAAACATAGTTTGCAAACTGGAGCTTAGTGTAATAGTACTGCTTTTATGCTTAATATCAGAAGACCTCTTTAAGTTATGCTATAGTTGAGTTCAGTAGAATATTTATTTTGTGGAATTACTATAATTCTGTGAAGGTATGTGAAGGTATCAGGGATGAGGCACATTGCTTTTTACAGAAACTGAGTCAGCTGGTATTTGAGGTATGACATTTAGAATTCTTGAGATTATTTGCAAAAAAAAGGTTTCTCTAGCAGCCCAGGAAACATATGGTTCTGTACTCCTCTAGGCTATAGTTTGGATGGGGAGGCCACAGTCCACATAAGTGGTGCCACAGCATTAGTCAGATGTATCTTTTGTACTTTCTACAGATGGATGACAATCTTCGCCAAAGCCCTCAGCTTCCTCCTCGGAAACTGCCAACACTTAAACTGACTCCAGCAGAAGAAGAAAATAATTCCTTCCAACGGCTTTCACCCTGACAGTAGTCATGCTTTGTGGCCAAAGTCAAACGATTGTTGCAGTCATCTCTTACACCTACTGTGTGAAGGCAAAAAGCAAGCGTAGGTATTAAGGAAGACTCTAAACCAAAAGGAACTTTCTATGACATCTATTTTTATTATTAATATTATTATTAAGAAGCTTATATTCTAGCTTGGCAGTGCATTTTAAATAACATCAGTTAATGCTAAATGAACTTGGTGGGTGGGGGGAAGAAAAACACATTGTACTGTATACAAAAAAACTGCCTTATTTATGGCAGATTTTTGCCTTTGGTTCAGATGTTGCTGACCAAAAGCTACAATTCTGTTCTGAATGTGCACTCCTAATTTATTTGAGTTAATTTATTCAGTTTATTAACTTAGTTTTCTTAGATCAGGCTGAATACCTAATATGTGGCTCTTTGGCTGAGGCTTTTTACTTCTGTTTAGAAATTTGATGCCTATTTTAGGAACCAGAAAAAGATAAATTGCTTCAATAGAAGAGACCGTATTTAACTTTAAAAAGTGATAAGGAATGTGCTTTTTAATTATGCTCTCACAAGTCTAATCTTTTGGGGGTTTGGTAGCACATAGATAAATATTAGAGGTGGTTACATATAATAACATCTGATAATATGCACTTCAGTATAACATTGGTCTTTGCTGATGTGTTCAATATGGGTTAGGACGGGTTCTTTTAGTTTTCTTGGGCAAATGTGACAGTTTTAGACTTATGTCTTTGTAGTAAATCTTTAGTTGTTTTTCTTGTGTTAATTCCAGGAGAGCTGAAAGTAGTGGTCATCATTGCTATGCTAAGCTGTAACATGTTACTGAAATTGCTCAATTGTTAGACACTATTCAGGATGAGCCCATAGCCAGGGAAGTAGAAATACCTACTGTGCATCTGGTCAAGTTCTCTAATCTTGGCCCAGGCTAATATTCTTTCATAAGATGCATATCATGTAGTCAAAAGCTTTCTGACAACCAATTATTTTCCATATGTCATATGTTTCACTTACAGTTGAAGAATACAAAGGAACAATCAGAGATAGCAGCTTTTAAAGACTTCTGTTTATTGGTTGCTGAACTGTTAAAGGACGTGCTGTGTGGTAATTTTACTTATAATAGAAACTTGCTTATTTTAGTGGTTGAGATGCTTCTGTTGTCCTAAAACCACTTCTGAGGTTTTTAAAGTACAGAACCATGTTTTGGATTAATGTCTTAAAAGATTACTATGGTGCTTAGCCAATCTTATCAAGTCCTGCAGAAACCCATATGTTAAGAAAATGACCTTTGTAGTCGAAAGACTCAGCTAATTTGAGCTGAGTAGAACTCAGCTATGTTTGACCCACATCCTTTCAATTTGTTCTGTATTTAGGTAGCTATTTATACAGGACTCCTTAAGTCATTGTAAATATTTTTTCTTGAAAATTTTAACCAAATGAGAATAAGGTAGTCTTCAAAATCTTGGTCATTTGTTTGGATGTATTTAGGGAAAGTACCTCATGAGCTGCACATTACTTCTACAACGGTGTGTGTGTGTGTGTGTGTGTGCATGTGTGTATGTGTGTGTTTCAGTCATCTTCAAAGGCAGATTATTAGATTCCAGCAGTCTGAAATCTAAATAGTTTATATTGGAAATCATGACTGTGAGACTTTATTGTCCTCTTGGATGGATATATATTGGAGAAGGGTGGTTAGCACATTCATCAGACATCTGTTTATGCTTTGATCAGAGCCAGTCATTTTTAATTATGATTTATATCAGACCCTCCAAAAGTATTTGAAGTATATTACAGTTATAATGTACAAGTACATTACATGTATATTACAAGTATATTACATGTAAACAGAACAATTATAATTTAAAATACTTAAGTTTTAAGGAATTAAAAAAATTAAAAATTTAAATTAAAAATTTGTAGAGGATAGAACTATGTCAGCACTGACAGATTCTAAAATTAAGTAGTAAATTTAACTCCAAGTTTCTCCATGGCCAAAGTCAAAAGATAATGCTAGGTTATGTCAGTTTTTCTTTTAATAAAATTACTGATGTCCATTAGGAAGAAAAATGTGTTTCAAGTTTTACAAGAACATGAAGCCCATGTTTTTCTGATATGTAGACTTTATAAAGAAGCATACTGTAATGTTTCACGAATCAAAATTTTAATCAGAGGAGGTCATTTTAGAATAACAAATACTTGTCTTTTTTAGTAGAGGGAATGACTGTCAATATGATTTATTTGCTTTTGTGTCATCCCTACTTCAGACTGTGGTTAGCCTTACATTCTCACTGTGGTCCATGATACTTCCAGATTGCCTTTCCTAAGATACAACATGTGATTTTAGTGAGAGTTTATATGTTGGGTTACTTAGTTGAGCTATTTGTATATAAGCAGATGAGATGACAGGAAGCTGTAACTGAGAACAAAGTTATTGAGGGACCAGCCACACAATATAGGAAGCTCTTAGAAAAGAATGTTTTTTCAGACTGAACAGACCACGTCTGACCAGCCTGTCATGATAGGTTGTGGATAAAGTTGGAGTTTGCTGGGATAAATGGTCTACAGTCTTAAACAGAGTACTGTGAGCCATTGTCTTTTGTAAGTGATGGTGGAGGATAATATGATTAAAGGGAATATGCTTGTGTTTATTTTTGTTGGTAGTAGATGATTAGAAAAACTGGCCAGATAATTCCCATGAGATGAAGATCTTCCATGAACAAAATGCCATTAGTCGTCCGTAAGACTGGGCTTTTTAAGGTAACATTAAAGAAGCTGTAAAGAATCATTCCTTCAAAACTGTTTTGACCACACAGAAGGTGGGCATTAACAAACCAAATTTCAACTCAAGTCTGTTTATATTATTTTGGGGGTACTGGAAAGCTGGAGATTTTATAAAAACAAGTGTTTTTATTTCTATTTATAATTTGTATTCATTCAGTATTGCTAGATACAGTAACATGAAGGGATGGGGAAGCTTATTTCAGTCAGAGAAAAATTTTTATAAGTCTGTAAAAATGGAAAAACTATTGAAAGAAGTAGAAATAGGTAACAGGGATAGTATCTTAAAAAACCTATTGGTTAAGGCAGCTTCATTTGATAAAAGTGGGATTTGAACTTGGTAGTGTTTCCTGAGAACCTCCTCCAAAAGTATGTATTTACCAGGCCTGTTACATCTTTCTGGTGGTTTTTTTTTTATCAACTGTTCAAAACTTTAACCCTTTTAAAACCTAGATATAAATGCTTACATGTAAAGACAGGAAGCTAAGCAATGGGTACCTGGGATCTCTATCAACTATTTTTATAACTTCTAGTGAGTGTAATTATTCAAAATGAAAATGTTTATAAAGTAAATTCATAGATTAAAGTATCATTATATAAACTATGATTTCAAATTTAATTTTCTAAAAATAGTATTCAACTTAGTTGAATAAATATATGATAGAAATTAAATACAATTTTTATTTTTTTCTTAAGAAAAAACTCTTGTTTGTAACAAATGATATCTAAAGATCTATTTTGCCTTACCAGAAAAGAAAAAAAAAAAAACTAAAACCAAAAAGTCCTTTTCCCTAGGATGTCAAAAATGCTGTGATTTTTAAATATCTGATTATATTTTTCTCTTTCTATGGTAGTGGGATTTACTTCTGAGGATAAAATATTTTGAAAAAGTTCTGTCCCTTGACATGGTAGTTCTCCCGTGCCTTGTACTGGTTCTCTCTCCAGATGCACAGTGTGACAAGATGCTCACTTTTAATGAAGAAGGTGTAGCTGTTTGTTTTAAGCTGTAATTGTTCTTGTCTTGATTTGGTTATTTTTATAATTGAAATCTTGAGCAACAGAGATAATTTGGGTGGCAATGACGGTCTTTTGTATATGTTCTCGATATAAAGAAGTATTTTTTGCTGCCATTCAGCTTTGTGGAATTTGTTTACTTTTCAATGTTCCCATATTTCTTAATCAGATTTTAAGAAAATTTGTTATTTTGAAATCAAAGGTCAGTAATCCCATTATCCTCAAACTTGAAGTTTCATTAGATGTTCAAAATGCTAATTTTTGCAGATACACAAGGATAATTTTTTTTTTTTAGTTTTTGTTTTTAAGGGTTTGCAAAATAATTTGGCTCCCAAATTCTTGGGGTGTAGTGTTTGCTAGGAGCCCAGGTCACCTGCCCTGGAATTAAATTGTGATTGAAGTAGAGAGGTACTCTAGGAATTGAAAAGGACACAAAATTATTTTTTTTTCCAGACTAGTGTGCCATGGATTTCAGATAAGAATTAACACTCTGTTTTTTTTTTTTTTTTTTTAAGACAGTTTCACTTTTGTTGCCCAGGCTGGAGTGCAATGACACAATCTCAGCTCACTGTACCTCTGCATTCTGGATTCAAGCGATTCTCCTGCCTCAGCCTCCCAAGTAGCTAGGATTACAGGTGCCCGCCACCACACCCAGCTAATTTTTTTTGTATTTTTAGTAGAGACGGAGTTTCACTGTGTTGGGCAGGATGGTCTCAAACTCCCGACCTCAGGAGATCCACTCACCTTGGCCTCCCAAAGTGCTGGGATTACAGGTGTGAGCCACCGTGCCCAGCAAGAATTAACATTCTTAAACAAAGGTATCAGAAAGGGTAACTCGATTTGAAGGTTTGTGAATAGAAAGGGAAATGTGATGGAAGATTATTCAGAACAAAATAAATAGACAACAAAATAACAAGACAGGAAAATAAGTCTTTGTATCCTTATTAATCATTTGAAATTATGCTATAATTTTTTTTAAGATAATCTTTTTGGTTTTGGGAGCAGCAGTTCCTAAAGGAGTGTTTTTTCAGAATATATTGTTAGGTGAATAGAGGGTTCCATGGCCAAGTAAGTTTGGGAAACAGTGGGTTAGACAAAGTTGAGTTACTGTTGGCCTTTCAGAACCTTTGATATGCCAATGTGCATTTTCAATCTCCAAGAAGCACCTCTATTTTATACATCATTTCCCTAATTTATTTGGAGTTTTTGGTTTTGTTTTTTTGAGGAGTCTTGCTCTTGTCACTCAGGCTGGAGTTCAATGGTGCGATCTCAGCTCACTGCAACCTCTGCCTCCTGGGTTCAAGTGATTCTCCTGCCTCAGCTTCCCAAGAAAGTGAGATTACAGGTGCCCACCACTACACCCAGCTAATTTTTGTAACATGGGGTTTCACCATATTGGCTGGGCTGGTTTTGAACTCCTGACTTCAGGTGATCTGCTGACTTTGGCCTCCCACAAGGCCAGCGTGAATTCCAGCGTAATTCATGCTGGAATTACAGGCGTGAGCCACTGCACCCAGCCAGATTTTTAAAAAAGTAGGTACCTTGTGGGATTTGTGTTCTAAGAGATACACCTAAGGAAATGCTGCCCTAGAGTGTTTTTGCTAGTTTATGTTCATTGCAAAGGTTTCTTATTGTTCGGTGCCCCTGGTGGTAAAATGGGACGAGGCAGGTCAAGACTCACTTGGATTATGGTGTTTAGAGAGGGATGGCTGTGGGCTTAGATATGTGTTATTTAGCATTTGTGAGGCCCCTGGTTATTCCAGCCCCTTTCCTTAGAATCTCAGTTGGCCTGGAACAACTGTACAGGGGTTTAAACAGGTGGTTTCAGAGGACTAACCAGTTCCTAAGCATCCATGAGGCAGAGGGAACCAACTTGTATTTCCAGAATAATTTTCCAGACCTTTCCAGGCTGTGCTTTAAAAGTGCCAAAAAGGCAATGGGTGTTTATGACACTAAAGTCACATACAAGCTAGTATGATACATACATCATAGAAGGCTTATAGTTGCTTCAGTGACAAAGCAAAGGAAGTTTAATATTTTCAGGTTTTGTTCATTACTGAAGATAGTCTAAGGTTCATAGTTTTCATTAAATTCTAGGCAGATTCTATATCCAAAAACATTTAAACCTCACTAGGCCTCCAAATTGGAGAGGGTTAACTAAATATGCTTGATTTTACTTCAGAGTCTGAAACCAGATTACTAATCATGTGTAAGGAAGCATTTTGTTTTTGCAATGTATACAACTGCATATATGGAACACCGTTTTGAATGTGTATATGAAAGAAGGCTCGCCTGTGGGTTTTGAGTTGTGATGTAATGGTGACATGTAGCCACATGAAAGACAGTTGGATCTTTGTTCTGATTCTTCAGTCTTCCTCTCACAAATTCAGAGAAATGTCTTTTAATCATTTCATTTACATATCCCAGATCCTTGGAGATCATGAAAAATAGCTTGCCAGTGTTTGCATCAGCCCTCAGCAAGTCATGAACCATAGAGAAGGTCATGGGGCCATTCGTTCTTTGGACTATTGGTTACTTCTGCAGTACTGGCTTCCTTCTCTCTAAGAGAAGGAGTAGTATTCTCAAGATCTTAAGTTAAATGCATAAAAATGAGTTTTACTTCTTTTCTGACTTGATTTTTAATTTTATGAAATGGGAAATCATGTTTTTCCATTTTTCTATTCCTTTTGAAGTGGGAATTTGAGGTGCTTGTAATGTCATGTTAGTGTCTGAACGATTGACAGTAAAGAAGAAAATATATGTATGTAGTATGCATATTCGTCTTGTCCCACCAAGCCTATCTTTGAATGGCAGACATTTTAAAACATCAGTTCTAGTTGCACAACTACTATAGCTTCATTATAAACAATCTTAAAGCAAGCAATGTTGGCCATAATTTCAATATTCTAGCCTTGCCGAGTGTGACTGTATTTTATTCAGAGACTATGTATAAATACACTAAAGTGGTGATGGTCATCAATATTGTAAAGAATTTATTCTGATAAATCAGAAACTGGATATAATGTCAAAATAGATATTTTCTCAATAAAATCTCAAATCGCCTGACTGCTTATTAATTCCTGATTTAATGTTATTTGTTCCTTGAGATAAATCTTTTCATTGGGAAGAATTTTTTGGTGGTTGAATGTAGTTGCTCAGGGCTGGGACTGAGCTATATACATTTTCAAAATGTCCTGTTTTGTTTTGTTTTTTGAGACAGAGGTTTGCTCTTGTCACCCAGGCTGGAGTACAATGGCGTGATCTTGGCTCACTGCAACCTTCACCTTCTGGGTTCAAGCAATTCTGCCTCAGCGTCCCGGGTAGCTGGGATTACAGGCACCAACCACCATACCTGGCTAGTCTTCTTTATTTTGTATTTTGTTAGTAAAGATGGGGTTTCACCATGTTGGCCAGGCTGGTCTCAAACTCCTGACCTTAGGTAGTCTACCCACCTCAGCCTCCCAAATTGCTGGGATTACATTGAACCACCATGCCCAGCCAAAAAATGTCAATTCTTTCTGTTATGCGTTGAGACCACTTGTGCTCTTTCCACTGCAGGCTCTGGGAGGTTAGAGGCCTGCTCTCTAGGCCACTGGTTTGTGTAAGACCTCAGATGCTCACACAACTTTTCAGGGTTATAGTTTTCTCATCCCTTCAGCTCTGTAAGTTTCTTGTAAATTACACCTTTTGCTCATCCAGACAGACCAGTGATAGTACATTGTACTTGAATGGAAGATCTGAGAAAAATAATGTAATTTTAGTTGGAGGGAAGATACTCAGGTTTTTTTTTTACTGCTTTGTTTATGGGACAAAGCATATGGTTATAGAGAATCCTGTTATTTATAGCTGTAAGTTAGATAAGGGCAAGTGTCTGAGAGAATGGGTGTCTTCGCTAGTGGAATTTTTAAAATTGAAGTGTAATTTACATATAGTAAAATGCATAGGACTTCCAAGTAGAACTGTGCAGGTATGTAAGCATTTTTCTCACATGAGAAGCCAGCTACATCTTTGTTGATACTTCTGTCCTCAAAGAATACAAATCTTAATTACTTACGCACTTTGGGTTCCAAGTGAAAGCCCTTGGATTAATTGTGTGGTGAGTAATGATCTTGCTGCAAGACATCAGAAAAGAGGAGTTGCTATTGTGGAATAATGGAATTCTTTTGTGGAGAGACAGCTATTTAGAGTCATAAAGCTGAAAACCATATGACAAAGAGCTTCAGAAATTTTGGTTCTTAATTGCTCATCTCAGAGGCTTGACTTTCGTCTGAGACTATTTGGAGAGCTCAAAAACTCCAGGATGTCCATACTGATCTTCAGTGGATGGTAGGCTACAACACAGGATGCTCTCTTTCCTTCTCTGCAAACAGCAGCTATTGCTGGGAAAACTCTTTTTTAAGTTTTGCCATGTTGGGATCTTGTCTTCAGTGAGTCTCCATAGCAGAAAGATCACTAAGTGCTGCACATTATGCTTGAGACAAATGTAAGAAAACAAAAAGGAAATGGTGGTAAAGAAATGTCAGGTTTTATCTTACTCAAGATCATCCTGTAGTTAAGTTCCTAGAACAAAGGAGAAATTGGTCTCTTCTTGACCAGACAAGGGCTTCAGTAGTAAGAATGAGAAACCATGGTCCCTCTCTCCAGGTATATGAGTCAGCCTCCTGGAATGCTGTAGACATCTGTGATTAAGAAACGAAGACAGCTGTGCATCATCAAAGACATTTCTAATTTCCAGTGCAGCCAACTCAAGGCTCCAAAAATTGTGCTTTTCCAAGTAGAAGAGAAGTTATTATATTTAATCTGCGTTCGGAGTGAGTGGAAAGAACAGGGGAACTTTAACATGTATAAATACAATTAGGATTGGTTGCCCAGATCCTGGTTTGGCTGGAGAAGGTAGTCCACTCACAAATTCACATTTTGAAGAAGCTAAGACATCTTTTGGCGTAGAAGAAAGCATGACACTTTGCAAATATCACAATTAAGACCAAACAGATTTCAGCTTTATTTTAAATGCAGGAAGCACGCAGACTTATTTGAAGACTCATATTGTGCCCCTTCTGATATGTGTTGTCCTAGTTTTCTTCATGAAGGGAGAAATTGCATCTTTCATCTAATGAATATGATTTACATTTTCTGTGGCATATGACATCAAATTCACAGGGTTGACTACCTTTAAAATGGTTTAGAAAAAGTTGGGGAGTGGGGAGTGTATATAGCAGATGTAGACATTAAGAGGAAAAAGCCCAAAACAAAGGAAAAAATAAGGAACACGCACACAGCCTAATAGAAATTTAAGCAAATTTAATCCAATCTCTGGATTTGGAGCCTTGCAAACCATGTTCATGCCAAGATTGACATCCATCACTCAGTGTACTTAAAATAGTTAAAATAGTTTGCTTACAAAGTGATGTCCCAGTGATGACTGCTGTGTGGAAGTGTGGAGATACCTGCATGTCTAAATCATCATAGTCCAGCCACCTAATCTCTCAGGGAAGAGGCTGCTGTAGAGGTCTTGAGTGCCTGAGATTTCCAGGCACTCATTTATTTGAGGAGAATTAAAGAGAAGGTTACAAAGACTGTTGTCAAGGAGCTAAAAATATGAGAGAGATGCACATAATTTAAATGCCCTACAGTTGATTTGGCATTCATGTAGTTTTTGTCTTCTGTCCCAAAGAGATTGTTTAGAGATACCTTCCCAAAACATAGAAGGCAAAAGGAAATGCAGACTCAGTTTTCAGTTCAGACCTTGCAAGACTCTGAGATCCTGTGGTAGAGGTGCACAGCTTGGGAACATGTGGAATCAGTGATTAGTTTTATTGGTTCATTTACAGTTGGGGAAGCTGAATCAAATTTAAAAGGGATCAAAAACCGATCAAGTGCTTAAAAGAGAGGGAATTGAATACAGGAACTGGTTGTACAGATGAAAGGAACACCCCTCCACCCCACTCCCCACCACCAAATCCCTGCCTTTGTGGGCTTATAAGAAGGGCAGCAAGGAGGCCAGTGTGGCTGAAATGGAGCCAGAGAGCCAAGGAGTAGAGAAAGATGAGGTCAGAGGGTGAGCTGTGGCCCATCAGAGGGCAGTTCTCAATTGCACACCCTTGGAATGTGTTTGGAAATGTATGGTGGCAGTTCTGTTGTCACAGTGAAGCGCTGAAGGCATTTAAGCTGGCTAGGGCTAACAAAGCCCTGCTCAACAAAGAATTGTTCAAACCCAAATACCAATGTTTGCTGTTGAGAGAAGCTGAAGACCTCATAAGCCCTTGTCAGGTTTCACAGAACAAAAGCAGATGATGAAAATTGTGATGACCTGCCAGCAAGCAGGCTTTGAAAAAAAGAAAGGGTTGCTTAATGCAGAAAGAGTGCCAGCATAGAGATTTTAGAACAGCAAGCCATTTTGGTGGGAGAAATTAATCTTATGATAAAAAGCCTAGACACTAGAAAGATCAGCAAGGACTTGCTATTGCTGTTAATCATTACTGATCTATATGGGATATAATTGGGGTTATGGAGGTGAATGAGTAGGTTGTAGAAAGACAATGGATTTTGGACATAGAGACTTAACATACCAGATGGGTGGTTCTGAGCAAGTTACTTGACTCTTAGTCTGCATTGCTGTTTATTGCAATACAGTTGAATAACTAGATCTGAATGTATGATCATTTTTATGTTTGGGTTTTAAAAATTATTGAAATTTAGACGATACCAGTAGAAAGAACTCCATCCCATCTTTTATGAATAACCCCTGTTAACATGTTACCTATTCTTCCAGTCTTTTCTCCATGCTCACACACATACAATCCTGTATATATTGTTATCTGATAGTATCTACTACTCTGTAATATGCTTTTTTCATTTAATATTTGGTAAATGTTTCTAGGTTGTTACATATTCTGTATGATTTTGCGTGGCTATGTACAATTTCATTGGATGGACGTAACATCATTTATTTCTTTCCCCTTGTGATGGACAATAAAGTGAGTTCCTCTTGTAATGGTCCTTGTTACATATTGTTATATGGTTTCTCAGGAAACCTTTATATTCCCTGCAGCCCTATGCAGGAGAACCTGTATTACTGCAACCTCAACAGTGTAGAGTATTATTTTACTCTTTCCCATCTTGATACGTAAAAAACAGCATTTCATTTACTTAATAAACCAGTTGCTTAATAACTAGTATACTTGAGTATTTTTCCATATGTCTATTGTCCATTTGAATTTCTTCTGTAAATTGTCTATTCATATTCTGCATCACAGGCAAATTACTTCTCTAAACTCCTATTTTCTCAGCTATCAGGTGGGATTTCTGTGGGGCTAAAAGGGATTATACACATTGCAGGTCCAGAATATGGAAGGTACTAAAAAGTATTATTTATGAAACTTCATGTTTTTTCTTGGATTAACAGCTCCAGAGGATGGAGATTCTCTTCTTTATTGTACCCCAGCACTGAGTACAGTGCTTGGAACATAGACAGGACACAAAAAGTTTTGAGGAAGGAAGAATAGGTGAGATTTGGAAATATTTTGAGTATATCAGGAAAAGGGGTGAGAAGAGTTGAAGCCAAGATCCAATGAATCACCAGTGAAAAAACTGGTGGGCTCCTCAGATGCTTACTAATATTAATGTGGAAGAATTTGAATCTTAAATACGAGGAAAAATTTCTTACAGACAGATGTAGCTAAAGGGTATTAAAGACCTATATCCAAGGCTGTAGCCAGCCTTGAGAAGTTGGGTAATTATTACTTTGTAAGCAAAGTATTTTAAGTATACTAGGAAAGGTCACTAGTAAAGGGATTAATATAATTAAGTTTTTGTAAAATGAATAACTTTTTTTTTTTTTTTGAGACAGGGTCTTGCTCTGTTGCCCAGGCTAGAGTGCAGTAGCGAGATCTTGGCTCACTGTAACCTCCACCTCCCGATTCAAGCAATTCTTGTGCCTTAGCCTCTCGAGTAGCTGGGACCACAGGCATGCACCACCATACCCTTTTGTATTTTTAGTAAAGATGGGGTTTCACCATGTTGGCCTGGCTGGTCTGGAACTTCTGGCCTCAAGTGATCCACCCCCCTCGGCCTCCCA